AAATCAAACAACCCCATTAAAAAAAAGTGGGCAAAAGATGTGAACAGGCCATTTTCAAAAGAAGATAAACTAATGACCAATAATCATATGAAAAAATGCTCAATCTCACTAGTCATCAGGAAAATGAAAATCAAAACTACAATAAGCTATTACCTATGTCCAGTGAGAATAACTTTCATCAAAAAATCTCAGAACAACAGATGGTGGCGTAGATGCAGAGAGAAAGGAACACTTTTACACAGTTGGTAGGACTGCAAAATAGTACAACTTCTATGGAAAATAGCATGGAGATTCCTCAAATACTAAAAGTAGGACCTACCCTTTGACCCAGCAGTCCCACTATGGGGTACTTACCCAAAGGGAAAAAAAATCATCCTATCAAGAAAAATAAAAAACGTGTTTTGTAGCACAATTCACAATCATAAAGATGCGGAACTAACCCAAATGCCCATCAATACATGAGTGGATTAATAAAATGTGATCTATATATCCATGGATATGGTACCATGGGGTACTACTCAGCTATAAAAATGTTGAACTAATGCCTTTTTTAACAACCTGGATGGAATTGGAGACCATTCTTCTAGGTGAAGTTTCACAAGAAGGGAAAAACAACCACCACATTCATTCACTATTAAATTGAAACTAATCAACCAACACCCATGCGCACTTTGGGTAGTAAAACTCAAGGGCAACCAGGTAGGAGGGGACAGGAAAGGGAGGAGTAAATTCACAAATCACAGGTACAATGCACCCTAACCAGGAGATGGGCACACTTTTAACTTTGACTCAAACTATTCAAAAGCAATTTATGTAACCAAAACATTTATACCCCCATGATAGTCTGAAATAATTAAGTAATCCCAAATAATTCACACAAAAAAGTCTAGTAGTTGATAAATGAATTCTATAATTTTCAGGTTACAAGATTAGTTGTGCTTCTATGCACTAGCAATAAACAATCCAAAAAGGAAATTAAGAAAACAGTTATATTTATAATTGTATCCAGAAGAATAAAATAGCTAGGACAAAATTTAACCAAGAAGGTGAAAGAATTATACACTAAAAACTATTTTAAAATTCTGAAAAAATTTTAAAGACCTACTTAAATAAAAAGGCATTCCAGGTTCAGGGATTAGAGACTTAATATTCCCAAAGTGACCTGCAGATTAATGTAATTTCTATCAAAATATTTAATATCAATGGGCTTTTTTGCTGACTTGGAATAGTCATTTCACATGAAATTTCAAGGGATTCCAAAAAGCAAAAACTATATTGAAAAAGAAAGTAAGAATACTTACACTTTCAATTTCAAGTCTTACTACAAGTTATAGTAATTAAAACAGTGTTGGCACTGGCATAGGATAGACATGTGGACCAGTGGAATAGAAATAAACTCAGAATTTATGGACAATTGATTTTATTATCTTTGTAGACATGGGGAGATTTCTTGCTACATTGCCCAGACTAGTCTTAAACTACTGGTCTCATTTTTCAAGCTCAGCTTCCCAAAGTGCAGGGAACAGGTGCAGACTACAGGTGTGAGCCATGATGCCCAGTCAGCCAATTGATTTGGGTGGTCATGGGGGTCTTGGCCATTCAATGGAGAAAGAATAATATCTTCAGGGCAGCACCTGTGGCTCAAAGGAGTAGGGCGCCAGCTCCATATGCCAGAGGTGGTGGGTTCAAACCCAGCCCCGGCCAAAAACTGCCAAAAAAAATAAAAACGAATAATATCATCAACAACTAGATAAACAGAGGCGAGAGACTGTACTGGATCCCTATCTCACACCCTATTACATGTATAATAACTAATTCAAAAATGAATCAAGAGCCTAAATGTAAGAGCCAAACCATAAAACTCATAGGAGAAAACACAGGGAAAATCTTCATGACCTCTGATGTGTCAATAGATACTTAGATTTGATACCAAAATCACAAGCAACAAAAAATAAAATAGATAAATTGAGCTTCCGAAAAATTTTAAAAAATTGTACCTTAAATGACAGTATCAAGAAAACGAAAAAACAATCAGCAGAATGGGAGAAAATATTTACAAGTCACATATCTGATTAAGGGTTAAGTATCCAAATACACAAAGAACTCTTACAATTCAACAACAAAAGACAAAAAAATTAATTTTAAGAACAAGCAAAGGCCTTGAATTGACATTTCTCCAAAGAAGATATGTAAATACCAGTGAGCACATGAAATGGTTCTCAGCATCATTAGTCATTACGGAAATGCAAATCAAAACCACAGTAACATACCACTTCACACCACCAGGATGAATAGTAAAAAACAAGTGTTGGCAAGGACGTAGAGAAACTGGAACCCTCCTACACTGCCAGTGGGAATGTAAAACGGTGCAACCACTGTGAAAAACAGTTTGGCAATTCCTCAAAAAATTAAACACACAATTACCTTAGCATATATATTCAAGAGAAATGAAGAGATATTGTTCACACAGAAATTTGTACATAAATGTTTACTGGTGCATTAGTTATAATAGCCAAGAAGAAACACCCAAAATGTCCATTGGCAGATGAATGGGATAAATCATGGCATAAACATTGAAGGGGAATATTATTTAGCCATTAAAAAGAATGAACACTGATACACAACCATGCTACAATTTGATGGACCTCCAAAATACTAGTCTAAGTGAAAGAAGCCAGGCACAACAGGTCACATGTTGTGTGATTTCTTTTACATGAAATATCCACAATATGCAAATTCATAGAGACAGAAAGATTAGTGGTTACAAGGGGATGGTGGAGAGGGGAATGGGAAGTGACTATTTAATGGCTACATACACAGAGTCTGGGAAGATGAAAACGTTTGAAAATTAAAGAAAGGCGATGTTGCACAAAATTCTGAATGCACTAAATGTCATTAAATCATATACTTTAAAATGCTTGATTGTATGTTACGTGAATTTGCAATTTTGAAAAATGGATCATAATCTTATGTTTAGCATAATTCCCTTTTAATTTAAAAACATACAGAGATTACATGATAAAACAAATATGTTAGATCATGGGCGGCGCCTGTGGCTCAGTGGGGAGGGGGTGCCAGCCCCATATACCAATGGTGGCGGGTTCAAACCCGGCCTGGCCAAACTGAAACAAAAAAAATAGCCAGGTGTTGTGGCAGGCACCTGTAGCCTCAGCTACTCGGGACGCTGAGGCAAGGGAATCGCCCAAGCCCAGGAGTTGGAGGTTGCTGTGAGCTGTGTAATGCCACGGCACTCTACTACGGATGATAAAGTAAAACTCTGTCTCTACAAAAAAAAAAAAAAAGTGTTAGATCACACTTCAAGACATTAAAAATGACTATAAATGGGGGATAAGAAATCAGGTAATTTTAATTGTTTTCTCTTAGCTTAAGTTATTTTTTAAATGTTTCAACAACTTTAAAAATAGATTGCACATTAAATTTTTTAACAACTAGGAAAGAGAGACTATAGTGGTGTTGAGTAATATACTCTTAAGACCATGGGGAAATCCTTACACTATAGGGTTGAGGGAGGATAGAAATAAAATTGCATTGAATGTGTAGTATGATCTCGAGTATTTAAAACGCACTGCTTAGGTAACAGTCTGTGGCAGATAGGCAAGTAGGTGATCGTTTTCCTTTCTACTTTCCAAATTTTCATAATAAACATATGACTACAATCAAAAAGGCAATTTTACTTTTGAAATGTTTGCTACTGGGCAAGCTAAGTTCAAAAAGGTAGAAGTTTGATAAATGTAGCTGGTTTGCTATTGACAAAGAAGATATTTACGTCAGAATTATGTATTTTGAAACATTTCTCATCATAGAAAAAGTGTAAAATACAGAAAATATAAAGATGGAACCTTAAATCACTACAATCCAACCACCTAGAGATATTTAGTTGTTCTTTTTCACAGACTTGGGCTTGGGCTGTTTAGAAACAATAATCTTTCGCTTCCATTCTAGTGAGAACACCGACATCACCTGTTTAGCAGAGGTGTACTGTGAGCCTATTCCGTGCTGGGCCTGCTCTGTAAGGACGGGTCTCCGGACAGAGACTACTGAAGGACAGTTGCTGATCGTTGCCTGGTGTGCTTTCTCACCTCACATGATGGCAGTTTAGGAACTTGAATGTCCTCTAGGGAGCCCTTTCCCATTCATAGTGCAAGGAGTTTGGGTCCCCAGCCTACCCAAAGAAGGAAGGACCCAGACTTAAGTCTATCAGTGGATTTAACATCTACAGCCACAGAGATTCACTAATTTGGGCCAATAAATGTCAAATACAGGACATTTGTTAGAAACACTGAGAAGAGAGGAGGAACCTGCCATGCTGAGCATTTGTAATTAAATAAGAGATGTTAGAAATCCCCAAGGAAGGAAGCGGTGACAATGAGTGGGTTGCTAGATGGGTCTAGTAGACAGTGGCCATGCTCCACGTCCTCCTCCCCACACCATACTCCTGTCAGAGTCTCTGCCACCAGATGCTCAGCTCTCTAAGGAAGGAAAGACATCTCTAACATGCTTAGTTCTAGCACAAGAAAAGGGTCCAAACACACACTGCTGAATAATTCTCCTGACGGACTTAGCAGCGTGGACATGGAGGAACTGGTGGTTCTATCACGTGAACTCAGGTTGCTGGGGCTGCAGTAGGTCTACTGGCCAATACCACATCCTATACTCTCCACCTCAAAGACTGGGTTTCTCCCTGGGCTGGAACCAGTGGTCTGCTCTGTGTCACCGGCTGTGGTACTGGTGTCGTCACCACATGATTCTCACACAACCACCCTGAAGTTGTTATATGGAAGATTGTCATGCACCACATGGTTGTCACACGAACCATGTGTGGGGAAGTGAGGGCCTTTCCTAGAAAGCCTTCTGTGATGAAACACCACAAAACCATACGGGAACATGAGGTCACTGAGCACACCCCACCTCCTTCCTCTGCTGAGAGCTAAAAAGAGTGAGGAGGGCACCCCTGCAGTTCCAACTGGGCAGCCTCCCCGATGCAGCTGCTCCTGCTCCCACTCCTGCTGGCCTTCTTCCTGCACCCCAGGGCAGAGGCAGGTGAGTGACGGACCCAGCCTCAGACCCCCAGACCCATCCCACAGACCTCCTGCCCCTTCTGCACATCCTGGATCCTTCTGTCTGCCAGGGACATTCTGAACCCCAGCTCCAGTCTCTCTGCATGACCCCCTAAGTGCAATGCTGGGTGAGCTCTCAGCAGGAACACCAGGGCAAAGACGTTTCTTAGGAAGAGCTAGTGGGTACTGTCCCCTCCTCAGGTCTCACCTTTGTCATCTTGAACTGCATGACACAGGGTGGGAAACTGGAATATACAATTCTCCTAGAGACGGCAGAGTCAGCCTGATTTCTCTGTCTGGGATGAGACAGATGCTTCCCTCACTGTCAGGGAGAAGCCCAGAGCTCAACTAACCGAGAATTGATGGGATCACTGTCCTCTGAACACCCTTTGTGCCTTTACTCAGTCTCAAGGCACTCAGTCCCTTTCTCCAGCTCGGCTTTCCTTCCCAGACCTTTGGCACCGCCCCTCTTTTCCAGGATGAGCCACTGTGGCACATCCCAACTCCTCTGCTTTCCAGAATCCCAGCAGCACTGGCCTGCAGCCCTCGTAGAGAGGCTGACTGGAGCTGG